CTCCTCCTCCTCCTCCTCCTCCTCCTCCTCCGCCTCCTCCTTCTCCCAACCTTCTTCCCGCCCTCGCCCTCGCCACTCGTGGGGGGGGAGAGCTATACTAAGGATCCATCCCGAGGCGCTGGTGAACGGGGGCCTAACGAAGGGCGCCAAAGCCCTCACACGATATGGGGATATGCCCACCTCCTATCCCAAGCTTCGTGGGTTTTTTGAGTGGACCAGAAATTCGGGGCCCCACCCTGGGATCATTACCAACGAATCGACGCAAGTGCGCTCGAAATACTGAAGGTTACGAGGGCACACGACGCTCCCATGACTCGCTACCGAACGAGCCGCATCCTTCGGGTGACATGGAGGCTCGGGGGGGAGCGGAAACGAACGTATCATTCACTCGATCTCACATCGATCAAACTCTCGGTCTCACAACAGATCCCACGATCGATGTCTCTATCGATCTCTCCATCGATCTCACAGCAGCTCTCACGATCGAACTAACAAACAACTTGACAATCGAACCCACTACCGATCTTACAAGCGATCTCACGATGATCTTACAACGGATCTCACGATCGATCTCCCAATCGATCTCACCATAGATCTGACAATCGAACTCACAATCGATCTCACTTTAAGACTCAATATCGATCTCACCACAGTTCCCACTGCCGATCTAACAACAGGTCTCACTAGAACTATCCAACACATCTCACCATCGACCTGACAATCGAACTCACTATCGATCTCACAGCGGGGCTCACAATCGATCTCACAACATGTCTCACGATCGGTCTAACAATCGATATCATCATCGATCTCAGTATAGATCTCAATATCAATCCAAATATAGATCTCACGAGCGACCTCACGATCGATCTCACAACAGACCTTACGATCCATCTCACAACAAATCCCACTATCGATCTGACAACAAAGAAAGCATGATCCACCGCCGCTTTACTGTGAAAATTCCCCCCTCTTCCTCCGAAACCGGGGGGTCCCCCCCATCCGAAAATCCTCCCCCCCTGCTGGACCCCCCCCCTCCCCTTCCCCCCGGCAAACCCCCCCTAACCCCCTCCCCCCTCTCCGGAAAACCGGGGGGGTCACTGACGGTTCGAACCCCTCCCCCTCCAGAAAATCGGGGGGGGGGGTCACAACCGGTTCGAACCCCCCCCCCCCCAAATCCATCACGAAAAGGGTGGTGGGGATCACTACCGGTTCGAACCCCCCCTTCCCCCCCCCCTACTCACCGCCGGCAAACGACTACCGGGTCCCCAGCACCGTCCGCACCACATTCCCCACTGCTGTCTGTCCCTCAATCCCCACCACTGTCCCGCTGTACCCACTGTTCCCACCATTGTCCCCGCTGTCCCCACCAGTGCCCTCACCAGTGTCTCACTGCCCCCACTCTCCCCACCATTGTCCCACCACGTCCTACTCTCCCCACTTTCCCCACGATCCCCACCAGTCCCACTGTCCCCACTGTTCTCACCACTGTCCCCACTGTCCCCGCTGCTGTCCCACTGTGCTGTCCCGCTGTCCCACTGTCCCCAGCACTGTCCCACTGTCCCCGCTGTCCCCACCACTCTCCCCACTGTACCACTGTCCCACCACCGTCCGCACCACCGCCTTCACCACTGTCCCAACCACTACCGTCCCCACCTCTGTCCCACTGTCCCCACCACTGTCCCCCTGTCCCCTCACCACTGTCCCCACCACCACACTCCCCACCACTGTCCGCACCACCGTCCTACTCCACTGTCCCCGCACCACTGTCCCCACCACCACCGTACCCACCACCGTCCGCACCACCGCCTTCACCACTGTCCTCACCACTACCGTCCCAACTCTGTCCCACTGTCCACACCACTGTCCCGCTGTCCCCTTACCACTGTCCCCACCACCATCCTCCCCACCACTGTCCGCACCACCGTCCTACTCCACTGTCCCCGCACCACTGTCCCCACCACCACCGTACCCACCACCGTCCGCACCACCGCCTTCACCACTGTCCCACCACTACCGTCCCCACCTCTGTCCCACTGTCCCCACCACTGTCCCGCTGTCCCCTCACCACTGTCCCCACCACCACACTCCCCACCACTGTCCGCACCACCGTCCTACTCCACTGTCCCCGCACCACTGTCCCCACCACCACCGTACCCACCACCGTCCGCACCACCGCCTTCACCACTGTCCTCACCACTACCGTCCCCAACTCTGTCCCACTGTCCACACCACTGTCCCGCTGTCCCCTTACCACTGTCCCCACCACCATCCTCCCCACCACTGTCCGCACCACCGTCCTACTCCACTGTCCCCGCACCACTGTCCCCACCACCACCGTACCCACCACCGTCCGCACCACCGCCTTCACCACTGTCCCCACCACTGCCGTCCCCACTTCCGTCCCACTGTCCCCACCACTGTCCCGCTGTCCCCTCACCACTGTCCCCACCACCACCCTCCCCACCACTGTGCGCACCACTGTCCGCACCACTGTCCCGCTGTCCCCGCACCACTGTCCCCACCACCGCCGTTCCCACCAGTGTCCGCACCACTGTTGTTCCAGCCGGCGGCGAGGCCCCCGGTTTTCGAGGGGGGTGGGGGGGGTTCGAACCGGCAGTGATCCCCCCCCCGGTTTGCTGGGGGGGGTCGAATCGGTAGTGACCCCCCCCCCAATTTTCGAGAGGGGGGGGTTCGAACCGGTAGTGATCCCCCCCCTCTTCATGATGGACTGGGGGGGGAGGGGTTCGAACCGGTAGTGGCCCCCCCGGTTTTCGAGAGGGGGGGAGGGGGGGACGGGTTGGCAACCCCCAGTGAGACCCCCAGTTTTCCGCCAGCAGCGGTAGAAAACGCTCTTTCTGACAACAAGTCTCACTGTCGATCTCACTATCGGTCTCACGATCGATCTCACGAGCTATCTCACAACAGATCTCACTATCGATCTCACAATCGATTTGACATTCGAACCCACTATCGATCTCTCAAGCGATCTCACCATCGAGCTCACAACAGATCTCACTATCGATATCACTATCGGCCTGACAGTCGAAGTCACTATCGATCCCACATTGGGACTCACTCTCGATCTCACAATAGTTCTCACAATCGGTCTCAATATCGATCTCACGATCGATCTCACCATCGAGCTCACTTTCGGTCTCACAATCGATCTCACAATCGATCTCACAAGCGATCTCAGTATCGATCTCACTGTCGATAGCTCTACAGATCTCACGAGCGCTATCACCATCGAGCTCACAACAGATCTCACGATCGGTCTCACAACAAATGTCACTATCGATCTCACGACAGGTCTCACAACCGATCTCACCATCGACCTCACCGCCGCGCCACCAACGGGACACCCCGCAACACCGACGGGACACCCCGCGCCACGGACGGGACACCGCCGCGCCACCGACGGGACACCGACAGGCCACCGACGGACCACCGACGGGGACACCCCCGGCCACCGCGCGCCAGGGGGAGGGGCGGACAACCGGCTCCACAGCTTTTGGCCGCGACGGCATCATTCCGTTCGCGCGCCCCGGCAGCTTCGCCTCGCCCGCACGCACGACACGAACACGACACCGAGACCGAAACCGATTTCCTGGTGGGGGGGGCTCGGCGTTCCACTGCGATCTCAACCCCTCACCTCCCATCTCCTCGAGGCAGGGTCTGCCAGCTCTCAATCGGGTAGCAGGCACGACGTCGACAAAACCCGTGCAGACGCAGCGCGTCGGCTTGGCGCGACGTCTGGAATCCATGGCGATGCCCATCACCAGCCTCTATATTCTTTCGTCTCGGGGGCCTCTCTGCGGCCCTCTGGGGGCACTCTGGGGCCGCCTTGGTGGCCTCGTGGGCGGTGTTGAGGCCGTCTTGGACCGTCGGGTTTACCCAGGGCCGTCTTGACGCCCTCTTGGATTGTCTGGGCGCTCATTGGGCCGTCTTGGGGCAGAGGCTCTGGAGAGCCTTCGGGATGCGTTGGGGAGCCCCGCCCCCCCCCCCCTCGCGGTTCCTGATGGCCTTGCCCATCGCCGCTTCAATTGCCAGTGGGGTGGGGGGGCGGCAAGATCTCTTGCCGTCGGAGGGCTCGGGGCCCCCAGCGGCCGCGCCCAATCTGCAGCTGCGCCCGCCTCCGCAGTGTGCCCGATACCCGCTTGTTCGCCGCGTCCGCCCAAGCATTGACCCACGAGACCCCAGCACAATGCAATGCCGGGCTGACGGAGGAGGAGAGGGATCATCCCCCCTACTCCTCCTGCCCCTCCTCCTCCTCCTCCTCCTCCTCCTCCTCCTCCTCCTCAGTTCCCTTCTCCTCTCCTCCTCCTCCTCCTCCTCCTCCTCCCCTCCTCCTCCTCCTCCACTTCCTCCACCTCCTCCTCCTTTTCCTCCTCCTCCTCCTCCTCCTCCTCCTCCTCCTCCTCCTCTCCTCCTCCTGCTTTGCTTGTTTTGCTGAACTGAAGGCGCGAGTCTGTCGGGCGCCGCCTTCTCACTCCCACAGGACCAGTCGTCGGGCCTGGAGGGCTGATCAAACTAAAGCCAGGCGACTCCCGGAGCATTCGCTCAAAGAGTCGCCGGTTGATAGGACAGACTCGTTAAAAGTGAAGAGTGGCTCCTCCTCCTCCTCCTCCTCCTCCTCCTCCTCCCTCCTCCTCCTCCTCCTCCTCCTCCTCCTCCTCTTCCTCCTCCGCCTCCTCCTCCTCCTCCTCCTCCTCCTCCTCCTCCTCCTCCTCCTCCTCCTCCTCCTCCTCCTCCCTCCTCCTCCTCCTCCTCCTCCTCCTCCTCCTCCCCCTCCGCCTCCGCCTCCGCCTCCTGCTCCTCCTCCTCCTCCTCCTCCTCCTCCTCCTCCTCCTCCTCCTCCTCCTCCTCCTCTTCCTCCTCCCCCTCGGCCTCCGCCTCCGCCTCCTGCTCCTCCGCCTCCTCAAGGGTGGACTACGGGCTTGCGAGAGACCCCGCCGCGCCCTGGCCTCGAACCTGACGTCGGGCAGGTTGCATCGGGCCTCCGCCGCGGAAGCTGGAGGGGCACGGACGGGGCACGGGCGGGCCCGATCCCTCCCACGAAGACGAAGCTGGGGCGAGGACACGGTGGAGGCCAGTCCACGAGATACCTTCCACAAGGAACCCAACCCTGAGACCCCAGGACGTCCTCTGGTTATTGGTGTGGGAACGTACCGTTTTTGATGGCAAAGCCATCGAGACCCAAAAAACCCAGGTCACCCTGGAGGCAAGCACGGTGTTCCCTGGCATTGGCCTCCACTGTAGATCGAGAGCCTCAGAGAAACCGGCGGCTCTGGAGGATGTCTCGGACGCCGCGGCCACTCAAAGCGTTCCATAACGCTATGAGAGCACGCCGGAAAACTTTCTAGAACTCGACGAGCGCGTTCCACTACTCGCAAAGTAACTACTCGCAAATGGCCTGGATCCGCCGCGAGGAATCTGCGACATTCTACATAGAAGGAAACCACATGTTTTTTTCGGACGTCTGCGAGCAGGCACTTTGCGAGTAGTGGAGCGCGCTCAGCGAAGAACGGATGCGTCCTCATCCCTACCCCGTCCAGCCTACTCGTGTTCTTCCTCCTCCGACTCTTCCCCCCTCTCCACGTCCTGCCACGGGAAGGGGGCACGGCAGGCCCCGAGTGCTGCTAGCACGTCGAACGGGGAGGGCGAGGAAGGCGAGGAGGAGGAGGGTGGGCAAACCCTTCTCTTCCTCCTCTCCCACCGCGGAAGATCGCCCTCTGCCAGGCATCGGGTTGGAACCGAATAGTTTGCCGTCCGTGTCGAAGTACTGAACCCCACTGGGAAGAAGAGAAGGCTCGAGCGATGGAGAAGCACGCAAGTGCGAAGGAGGGGGAAGGAGCAAGCGTGCCGGAGGACGGAGAGACGGGTTCGAAGATTACGCAGCATATTCACGAATGATCACTATCATCATCCTGAAAATCCCACCAATCCTCTGGGCGTAGGTGGTCTAAAGAGCTTTCTCTTCCAACCCCCGGGCGGGGGTGAGCTACTGGGGGGTGTCTTGACCCCTCTCCCTACCCGCTACCCTTGACCTGGAGGGGGGGTTCGCGAGGCGTTGGAGCGTCCAAACTAATTTGTCAATAGATGACCCCAAGAGAGCCTCAGAGAGCCCAATATGACCTCCAAAATGGCTCAAGATGGCTCCACATGGATCCCAAGACGCTCCTACGGGCCCCTAACCCGTTCCTCAGCCCCCATCAACCTGTGCCCGCGCACGAGCCGCGCTCGATCGGGCGACTCGTCGAGAGGCCGAAGGGGAAGGGGAGGCGGAGGGGGCGGCGGCGGCGGCGCCTCCTCCTCGGGCCCCGCTCCAGGAGCATCGTGCAATGCAGAAGTGCCATGCGCGTCGAAGCTGCGACCTGACATGTAGGCGGCGCGAGCTCGCCCTAGAAATGTGGCAAGCAGGCGGCCGACCAGCAGGCGCCCTCAAAGCAGCTCAATGGTGCCTGCTGGGGCCTGCCCTAATGCGGCTCCCCTCATGGCCAAGAAATCAGCTCTCCCGTTGCCTGCCCACCCCAGGTACGTCAGCTCCCCAGCCAACACGTCGTCTCTGGTCTTGTGGGCAGGCACGCGTTTAAAATGCGCACGCACGAAGTCTTCACGGCTGCTCACGACCGACCACATGTGCGCGCGTGGACTCTTCGCTGAGCACGCGTGCCGCAAATCCTTGGCCGAGTTCAAAGTGGACTCACAGTCCCCGTGCACTGTGTACGTTCCTAACAGGCGGCTGGCACACATGAACATAGAAAAGTCCCACCCGTCCTTAGGTGTCTGGCTGGATCCCCATTCTGGCGGAACGGTCCCGAAACAGGCCGCCTTCTCGCTTGGGTTTGGGTTGAGGACAACGACTGACCAGCCAGCCACTCGCTGCGTGGGAAACTCTTTATCTACGCAGCTGCCGTCCACAAACACCAGCCCGTTTTCCACTCGCAAGCAATCAGACCACCCAGTGTGATGCCGACTGGTGAAGGGTCACGCTTACGAATCTCAAAACAAGCCTCGGGGTTAGGAAAAAGCCCTAGGGCGAAACGCTCCGCCCAACGCGGCCCTGCATGGGCTGGCTGCTGGGACCATTGGGATCCGATCACTGAGCTCCTAAGGCCATTATGGTGCTGGGGGCCCCAGTCATCCGAAGCCTTCGAAAACAAAACCTCGTTCAGGGGCCTGCAGAAAACCGATGAAACCCAATCGCCAGGACGCTCCCACCACGCCCTTGAAGGGCGAAACGGTCCGAAGCTTTTCTCGAGGCCACTTTTGAACGCTCTTCAAAAAAATTGGGGAGTAGCTATTTCCTCACATTCCCACTTAGCTCCTACATCATCCGTGATCACGAGAGTAAATTGAAACGCCCAGCCGATGCGCGCACACGTGAGCACAAGTGCCTGAACGGGGCCTTTGCACAAGCACCATGCACGTGGGTGGCCCACTAGGTCTTTAGCCTGATCCAGGAGGGGGTCAACCAGGCGAGGTTGGAGTGATCCCTCCCAGACCAGGGCACTCCTGCGTAGTGCTGTCGTCCAGCCGCCCGATGCCACGGCCAGCTGCCTCGCGCATGGACCTGAATTCCGTGGAGTTCTCGCCCACAGGAGCGCACGTCTTACCGTGCGAACGGGCCAGTTCCCCATGCGTGCTCCGGTACTGGTCCAGGGCCTTGCTGAGCGACTGTACGATGTTCCGCTTGGACTCCCAATCAGGGCCGAAACGCCCCACGTCGAACTCGTGGTTGATGACCGCCATAGCACCGGTTGCCGCTTTCACCGCCTCGGCTTGCGCCGCCGTCTGCAATCTCGCGAGCGACGAGGGCAGGTAGCGCAGCGCTCCCGGGTGGCTTAGCTGAGGAGCCACAGCGACGTTCCGAGCAGCACGGGAGAGAGTCAGTAACTACTACTACTACTACTACTACTACTACTACTACTACTACTACTACTACTACTACTACTACTACTACTACTACTACTACTACTACTACTACTACTACTACTACTACTACTACTACTACTACTACTACTACTACTACTACTACTACTACTACTACTACTACTACTACTACTACTACTACTACTACTACTACTACTACTACTACTACTACTACTACGCTACTACTACTACTACTACTACTACTACTACTACTACTACTACTACTACTACTACTACTACTACTACTACTACTACTACTACTACTACTACTACTACTACTACTACTACTACTACTACTACTACTACTACTACTACTACTACTACTACTACTACTACTACTACTACTACTACTACTACTACTACTACTACTACTATTTTTTCAAAGTGGCGCACGTGGCGAGACAGCCTCTGCAAACGAGGTATGCCTAGAGGGATACATCATGTAGTGAACCCTGTATGCGGCTAAGCGATCGAGCAGCGTGCGTCGTGGTAGGACCACCGGATCTCAGTCCTCCTCGTCGTCGCCGAATATCTCGGCGTCCGTCTCGAATCCGAACCAATCGTTGTCGGAATCATCGTTGTCATCGTAGGTGAAATCACCCATCGACATCTTTGACGCCACGTTCTGAACAGAAGCGCGGCGGAGCTGCTCGTCCTTGATGGTCAGCAGAATACGGATCACTGCCGTCAGGATCACCTTCGTGATCTTCTGGTCCTTGCCTTCGTCGAAGAACGCCTCGTTCACGCCCTTCGAAACTGGTCCCTGGGTTCCCAGGGCCTGTACATTACGTTTCACCTTCTCAACGTACTCGTCGAGCTCGTGGTGGAAATTGCGAGCTCTCTCTGCTGCGTTCGAACCGAACAGCACGCGAATGACCCTTGCACCATGCAAGTCGGTCTTCCCCCGGTACTGGTGCTTCTCCATCTCCAGCACGGAATTCCAGCGCCTCCTCGTGTAGGCATGGGTGTTCGTGGGATTGTCCTTCCTGGACATGCCCTTGCTGTCGGGGCCCTGCTCGCAGGCGTCGATCTCTTTCTCGAGGTCCGTCTTTCGCGCCTTGATCTTCGGTTGCTCGGCTTTGAGCTCCTCAAGTGCGGCGAACCTTTGCAGCTCGCTGCTGATCTCCTCTCTGCGGCCGATCTTCGTGGGATCCTGCTCTCCTTCAGGAATCTTGCTCAGCTCCTTGGTCAGCTTCTTGGCGTCGATGCTGTTCTGGTCGTCGCCCTCGTCGACACTCATGTCCTCGAGACGAGTCTCCAAGTGTGCGATATCTTTCTCCAGGGCGCGCTTCCTTGCCCCGGTCTCCGCGGAGTGAACCTTCTCCTCGGAAATGACCATTTTGCTCATCAGCTCGATGGTTCTCTGGGCTACGCTCTCGGGCATGCCAACATAGCGCTGAAGCGTCGAATAGATGCTCGACATCGCCTTCTCGTCGCCAGAATTGAACTGGTCGAGGAACACGTCCGGCTCCGTCTCCCACTGGACGCTGGGGCAGAGCAGCAACAGCATCTGCACCGGAAACAGGACCCCGCACGTCGCGGGATCACGAATCGCATCGGCCTTCAAGCCAAGGCGATATTCGAGGAAGGCAATCAACTCCTTCCCGAAGATGTTCGACGGAATCGGTCCGCACAGGGCACATGAGCTCACGAAGATGAACCTCTCCACGTGAGAGGCCAAGCTGCTTCCCATAGCTGGAGCAACCTTTGCCTTCCGAAAATCGGAGACGAATGAAGCCTTCATGTAAACCTTTGGCATGATACTACTACTACTACTACTACTACTACTACTACTACTACTACTACTACTACTACTACAACTACTACTACTACTACTACTACTACTACTACTACTACTACTACTACTACTACTACTACTACTACTACTACTACTACTACTACTACTACTACTACTACTACTACTACTACTACTACTACGACTACTACTACTACTACTACTACTACTACTACTACTACTACTACTACTACTACTACTACTACTACTACTACTACTACTACTACTACTACTACTACTACTACTACTACTACTACTACTACAACTACT